CTTCTCTGGGACTGATTTAGTTAATTGGTTGTTGGAGGCTGATGTGGCTAATAGTCGGGAGGAGGCTGTACGGTATGGAAGGTGTCTTCTTGAGAGCCGGTTACTGCATCATANCAGTCCCTCATCGCTTTCAGGATTTTCGGGCCTGATCCCAGTCTGGGGAGGCTGGGCAAGTGGCTGAAGAAAGCTTGTCACGAGTGGAAAGCTAGACAGAAGCTACAATTACCTGATGAAGCCCAGAAGCGAGGATGATTCGAGAGTCGTTCAGCAAGTGCCATCTTCGAGTGTCGCAATGAATCTCCGTGTGTCGCAGGCGACTACTCACGGTTTATGAGGGGGTCTTCTCTGGGACTGATTTAGTTAATTGGTTGTTGGAGGCTGATGTGGCTGATAGTCGGGAGGAGGCTGTACGGTATGGAAGGTGTCTTCTTGAGAGCCGGTTACTGCATCATGTCGATGGTACTCATCATTTTCATGATAACAATATTTTGTATACTTTCCGGGGGTAGATGATTATTTCCTACCGCTCGGGGGGGAGTGAGGGGGAAGTATTTATTTGTGGAAAAGAGATATTCTGAAATGGGGAATAGGATTTTTTTATGAATGGAAGAGACAGGCGGAATGAACCGTCTTTTCATTTTCAAAGGATTTTTTTTTCAACTTTTAATGAGACTTAATTTGTTTTACTCCACTCTCTTTTATTCTTGGTTGAAAAGTAATAACTTCTTCAATTCAGAATACTCTTTTTTAAATTAATCCTGCTTCAGTATTGTGATTTCATTATTGAATTATTCGGTATCATTCTCGTAATCCAAAGATTGTACGGGTATTAACGACTGTTAGTGACATATTCGATGATGGAGTCAAACATCGATATAAAAAGATTGTACTGAGGTTTTTTTATTTTTGAATATCATTTTTCTGTGGCGCAGTAACTCTGCAGGCCAATTTTGCTGCGTCTGTACTGCACATTAGCGAATAATTCAACGCACCGGTCATAGTTAATTATTTTATGCTAAATGAAGAACAATCGATTGTTTGAGAAGAGAGGAATGAACAAAGGCTGTGTCGTGTTGTGAACAATATCAGCGGCTCTCAGATTCATAGATGAACCAATATTTGAAAGAACTTCTTAACGTCATTCATTATCTTGCTTCATATATTTCGTGATAATTAAGATAATTTCTGGTGACAAATGTGATAAAGAGAAGAAATGCTATGAACTTTAATTAGCATCATTAGTATTGAACTCTAAAACTCTATTTTTTAGGAGGAGAATAAGATTTGAATTGCGCGAAAGTCTCGTTTATTGCACTGCGTGAATGAAAATGTAGCGCAGTGCATTTGCCAAAGAAAGGATCAATAAATACACGATAGTTGAATATTTTTCTTTATTCCTTATCCCCTCAAATCAAAACTGTAGATTATCATCGGGATCTTCTTCATGTAGATCATCGATGTCATCGGGCACATACAAAATTTTCGATTCATTAGCTGGATTGGTGTCATTAACAATGTAAGGCAGAGGTGTTTCGTTCTTCTGCTCTAGCTCACGAGAGTTCATGTCTAATCTGAATGTTGCTTGTGGCTTTAATGCAGCAATTGGAGACGTTTGAACATTCTTAGGGGACTGCACCACCGGAACCCTCTCAGATTTAATTTCGTACGTCAATATGTCCTGAGTAATTACTACATGATGTCTTAGAAGCCCTCTCCCCTGCTTGCGATGAGTTACAGATATTTCATAACTAATATCGCATCCGGAACTCGTTGTACTCGAGTCTTCAATGTCTGAAAAGTCTAAAAAATCCAGAATCACGTGATTCACGTAGTAAACTTCAACTGATCGAACTTCAGCGAAACTAATCATCTAGCAATCAATGAAGACACAATCGTTAGAGACATTGATTAATGATTGCATCGATGCTAAAGTTCCTGTGAAGACGAGAATAGTGGATTCTATGGGATTTAATAAGGAGAAGCAATTGGTAGATTTATGCAGAGAAAAATGAGAGAATTGTGGAGATTGAGTTATTTATTTGAAATAGAAGTAAGAAACTATTTTTCATTACCTAATTGCGATAACGAATATTGTTTTTTGATTTTAGTTTGTGGAAATTTTAATTGGAGAAGATGCTGGAGATATTTATTAATTTATTTAGTGAATGGAAAAAGGGGAAATGAAATTATTTCACGAGTAAAACTAAATGTTAATAAAAATACAATTTTTTGGATAGATTTGATGCTTATTATTCTTTTTTTTTCAATTGAAGAACTGGGTTCATGTGAAAATGTCAAAACCCTTCTTTTTCGGAAATTTGATTCTCTACAAAAAATGTCTCAAAACATTTTCTGTAAAATAATTCAGACCTGAGATAATTTCATAATTAATTACATCAAAGACATTAGGGATTTCAATGAAAAATAATAAAAATTGACCATTCGAGTTATTAATTAATTTATTTTGTGGCATGTGTGGAACCGACTCAACACAAGTGCCTTAAACCACTTCCGAATAATTGAAGTAACATCAAAAGGCTCGCCTCACAAAACCCTCCAGTGGCTTCAGAGGACTCGAAAGACACCAACAAAAGACAACAGATGATAGAGAACTTCATGAACAGTGAAATAAACTTCGCAATTTGAAATACAAATGAGAATTTTATCGTTCTTCGTCTTCCATTGACTTCGATCGAAGTCGAGAGCACTCCCCTCTAAAAAGCTGGAGAATTATCTTCAGAAAGATCTATTTTTATAATTGTGTAGGGAAAGAGGAAAGTGAGGGCCCGGTGTTTCGTTCCAGAGGTGAGAAGTTAGTTACTTATCAATTAATTGTCGCAACTTCATCCAAAATTGAATTTTAAACTTAAAAAGAATTATAATGTCATCACTTTTCAATTATTTCAATTATTTCTGCTGAAGATTGATTAATATTATTGATATTTTCCATTAATTTTCAATTAATATTGATCAAACATTATTAAAAATTGATGACAATTGATTAAAAATATTTTGGAATTAAAAATTGAATTTAGAACGAATTTTAAACTTCGAAAAAATGATTCCTCATTAATTTCCAATCATTTATGATTAACATTAATCAATATTATTCATGTAATTGATATTTTCCATCAATTTTCAATGATAATCAATTGAAAATGATTTTTTTGAGTTTAAAATGTAACCCTGAATGAATTTATGACAATTTGATGTTTTTTTTCTATTCCAGAACTGCATAACGAAGAACTTCAATGCTGGATTATGGATGACATCAGTGAACAATGTTCTGAAATCAACAATAGGTCCTTTCCAAGACAAAGATCCATTATTAACTAGTCACACAAAGGTTTCTAAGCTCCCAAATGCAGAGATAGACCCTAGAATAAGAAAATCTCTCATAGTGAAACAAATTATTGATTTTTAATTTAATTTGTAAATAAACTGGATTTATTAAATAGTTTTTCACTCACGAAACACACCGAGAACACTGGAACATTTTTTCAACGTCAATAATTGATTTTTTATCAACTTAAGTCTTTATGTTCTTGGGTTGATCCCTTCGATTGAAGAAGAGATTGAGCCAGTATATCATTGAATCGATCCAACCTTTTCAATTTTTGTGCATGATACTCAGTTCGCTCTTTATCTCGAGAGTCTCGTGCCTTAGCCTGCCCTTCCATGATCTCAGTCAAGCTTTGAGCAATAGTTTTTCTCTTCTAGTCTGAAATGAAGCACAATATTGGAAAATATGTATAATGCTATTTGATGAATTATACCACACGGTAGACTGAGAGAGACAGTCAATTACCTTTCTTATCTCTCTGAGCATCTGTTTGATATTCCAGACTTCGCTCTCCGGCTTCACCCACTGATGAAGCAGTAGATAGTGGGGCCATATATGGTGTCTTCCCCAATAAATCTTGCATGCTCTAGAAAATGATAATACACGATAATTCACAATAACTCATCGGCGTATAAATTATTTAAAGCCATGCACACCTCAAAAAACATCCAGTCCATGCGATCTGCGCCCGATTGGGCATTGTGATCATGCACTAATTTATATTTTCGTTGCATTGTTTGCCATTTTGATCGACATTTAGAAACATCAACGTGGTATCCTTGCAAATTCATACCACTACTTATTGCTTCCCACAATTTGTTTTGTACTTTTGTTGTCTTGGTTAATTTAGAAGACAATTTCTGTATCTCTTCTGTGTACAAGTCCAGAAATAACTTCGTCGCTGCTTTTGACCACTTGTATTTGCCTATGATATTGAAAATCTCGCAGTGTTATTAACGCTTAAACTGCACACTGGGTCAAATTGACCCTGTCAACACTAATTTTTTTTCCAATAAATTTTTGCTATTGCGAAATAACTATCTATTTCAAAGAACCTTATGTGCCCTCAGATTCTACTCCCAGTGATAGATCTTGATCCGCCGAATACAATTCGATTTCTTCTGATGTCTTAATGAAAGAACAAAATATTCAATTCTCTAGGAAATTCTGTCGAAAAACGCTTTTTTTAAGATGAAAATTTTACTCAACCTGTTTTTGAAGAATGGAATAACTGTGCATTCTGTCAGGAGATAGCTATATTAACTATCATGCGTTAGAAAAATCCACTTCACCGGAGAAATAGGAGCTGAGATATTTGACAAAATTTGTGGGTCGAATCGACCCAGGTGTGCAAGTAAAAGGGGGTCAAAAAATAAGTGAGCAAGTTAGGGGTTTACATAATCTGATGAAAAGTTCTTAATACATACCTGTAGCAGAGATGTCCTTGTTTCCAGTGGGTTTCTCGGTGCTGTGTTTCTCCACAACCACTTCCTCGTCATCATCATCATCACTTAAGTGTGCTTCAAAGTTCAATTCGCTTTCCATCGACTTTCCAAGAACTTCCAAATATGGATGCGGCTTTTGAACACTCCATTCATCCAAATCATTTGAAGAACTGTATTTAGGAGCCCCAAAGCCATCAGGATTATTTTCCTTATCGAATTCCTCCTGTTGAATGCAACTTGCCAGTAACGCAGATGCAAATTGATTATCTATTATGAATTGTTTTAGTATGAGCACTTCAAGTGATAACAACCAATAGATTAATAAGAATTTACCTTGCATGGCACGTCCAGCATCTTCATTGGATAAGAGGACGGTGTACTCTTTACCGGTCATAGGGTCGGAAATTGATATCTTTGTGGTGTGCTCAAGGTCAGACACCCCATCAGGGTCCTCCGCCCTCATTTTGATGAATGAATTTGATCTTTATTATGTAAATCTAAAGGATTCTTGACACCATTGTGTATTCCGAGAGGTTAAATTATGAACTCTGAATACAAATAATGGCGCGACTACGGGAAGTTAGCTACAAGAATTACGAAATTAGTAGGGTCATGGCGCACCGGAGAATTTTTGGCGAGTCCACAAGAGACGTTTCATGACGATGTGAAGGGGCTATTTAGAACAGCGCGCGAGAATTACAAAGCGCCCAGCCAACAATTTACCGGGAATTTGTCGGTAATTTGTTGACATAGGACCGGATCTTTTGTCAACATTTTGTCGACAAAAAGACGGTAAAGTTTTCGGATAATGATTGATTATATCATAACATCAATCGGCAAATTATCAGCGAAATTGTTCATGAAATTATCCGTAAAATTTATCTGTAAACTTGAGGTAAAGTTTTATCCGTAAATTTTACGGTTAATAAATCGTCAAATAATTCCCAAATTGGAGGAAAATTTACCGACAAATGTTGCGAAAAATTTACCGATAAATTTTGCAGAAAATTTACCGATAAATTTGGGGAAAATTTACCGATAAATTTACGGAAAATTTACCGATAAATTTTGAGGAAAATTTACCGATAAATTTTGAGGAAAATTTACCGATAAATTTTGAGGAAAATTTACCGATAAATTTACGGAGAATTTACCGATAAATTTACGGAAAATTTACCGATACATTTACGGAAAATTTACCGATAAATTTCTCATAGTTTTTTCCCGATTGCATGATCGAAAAATGTCGAGAACGAAAATGGAAATCGTTTGGGCAATTGTTTGTTCATTTGATAATGTATACACGAAGAGAATTCTTTAACAGAAATTATACCCTTCTACCGTGGGTGTGCTAGTTTTCGGATACTTTACAATGCCATGCTATTTGGATAGTACCCGGACCGAGCTGACAGGTCTTAGTATTTGTAAAGGGCCCCAAAAAAGTGGGAAAGAAGCCAACTTCGCAGTATCCTGATGGGTGGAAGGGATTCAAACGGGTTAAAAACTTCAAACACGTCCAAGGGCCTACGTTTTCAAGCGATTGAGCTGAAAATTGGTATACATATATGGCACAAACGACAATTTATAGACAAGGCAACTGAGTCAAAATTTTTAATTTGTCTATAATTTTGATATCTTTCTATATCTATTGAGAGCAACAATTCCATTCAAGGACCACCCTTTAGCTGTTCTCATGACTGAGATATCGAATTTTCAATTTTTATAAAAAATGAGAAACACTTTCTTTTCAAGCGTATTTTACGAGCCTTAGACTCATTTCAAGGGGAGGCTCCTGTGAATTTTTAAAGTCAGGGGTAATCGAAATAAGATTTCTCATCCGTTAGATATCCATTATAAATAGGGGAGGGTGGAGCAAAGTGGAACGTTTGTGATCGACTTTAATTCTTGATATCTTCGTTTATAAGCAAATATATTGGGATTTTAAGTCGATGACAAACACTTGCCCCACCCACCCCTATGTAAAAACTAAAAACTAGTGTAGAAATAGTATATTTCGATACGAGTGAGACGGAATTTCCACGAGTGTGACGTTGCCAATCACACGAGCTGAAAATTCCCGTCTCACATGTGTCAAACGATATTTTTCGACTGTAATTTTACGTTCAGCGAGCGGCGAACTGTGCCCTTTTCGATTACAAATAAACGAAAAGCTTTTCCGTTTACTTTTCGTTTACGAGTAAACGAAAAGACACTTTTCGGCACGAGGTGAACGTAGCAGCAATGTCGAAATAGTATATTTCGTAACGAGTGCAAAAAAGTGTTTTTTGGCGAGTGGGAGGTTGTGGGAGGTGATATAATCCCACGAGCTAAAAAACATTTTTTTTAGTGCCGAAAAGTTCACTTTTCGTCACAGCGTGATGAAAAATGTATTATTTGTTGTTCGTTTGCGCCCCAGATGCATAAAACTTGTAAAATGGTTCAGTGTCCTCAATTTTTGAGCTACAACGGTATTTTTTTTTCAAAATTCTTCAAAAAATGTCTAGAATAATAATTACGAGCCACTGTTTTCATATTCAACTTCCAAATAGCTCAATCAATTAATATTTTTAAGCGAAATTGCACCACGCATGGAAAATACTTCGAAGAATAATTATTGAAATATCTTTGATATTCTCACGTTTTTTCAGGTTCTGAAAAAATTGTCAAAAAATTTATTGGTTTTTTGCAAAATCAAAAATGTCGAATCATGTGATTTGGGAGTCGAATATGGGTAAAAGTGGCTCGTAATTGTTATTCTACACATTTTTTGAAAATCTTTGACCAAAAAATAACCTTCGTAAAAATAACCTTCGACCACGTTTTCAATATATTTTACGCGTTGGGAGGGAAAATGAACAACAAAATGCTTTTTTCTGCACTAATTCTACATTTTGACATATATTGAAGGGATATCTGACATATGAGAAATCTCGCTTCAATAGCCTGCCACTTTGAAAACTCACAGGAGCCTCTCTTTTAAAAAATGGTCGATATGATTTTTGTGGAAACAAGTGGTCATTGCATTAACGTATTCTTAGTATAGTTGTTTTTGCTAATAGATTAGCAATTTGCTTCCGAATGGACAAAATCAATTTTATATCATTGAAACATATTCTTTAAATCTTTATTGAACGGATTTAAAGAGTTATTCTTTGAATAATCGTCGAAAAATACAACTCTAAAAACCCGGATGTGTGGCACACGTGGTAGCAGCATGAGACTCACAATTTCAAGCTTCCAATTCTACATCAATTTTCCATAATTTTCCTCACAATGTTCATGAGAAACTTCTATACAGTTTCCAAATTAAATATTCTGCGGATGTTTCAACTAAAAAATCCACTCCACATCAAAATATACCTGGCTGAAGGCCCTCGAGCGATAGCCATGTTGGCAAATCAACTATTACAATAAATCCTAATTAAACCCCGACTCGACCCTGACTAAGCCACGACGGAACCCTGATTGATAGCTTTCATGAGAAAAAAAAAAATCAAATCAGGCTGTCACTCAAGAACGAATGATGCTATTAACCCCATCTTCGAACTTGGTTAATATACCATCGATACAAATTTTTTAAGCCTTCATTTAATCAATTTGAATGATCATTTTTTGACTTAGCGTCGAAACAAAAAAAAACAAGTAGGCATTGCATTGACCTATTTTTCGTATAGTTGTTTTTGCTAATTAATTAGCAATTTGCTTCCGAATGGTCAACTTCAATTTTGAAATTGAATTTTATATAATTGAAATCTTTTTTTCGAATTTTCCATCTAACAATAATTTAATTTTAAAAATCGGGCTGTGTGGTACAGATGAGACTCAAAATTTTAATTTGCTCCCAGATTCGAGCTATTGTCGAGATATATTCTACATCAATTTTTTATAGTTTTCTGCATCAGATAGTTTACTCCACTCCACATCAAGATCTCTAACTGAAGGTCCTCGAGCGATAGTCATGTTAGCAAATCAACTCTTACATTCGAAAAAAATCAATGAAATTCAACAGTTAATTATGAAAATTCATGACGAAGAATTTCTAAAGAGGATTTATGTTATTTTATATTTTTCGTAATTTTTTTTTGGTTATGGAATCTTCATTTCTTACTATTCATTAAAGACGGGATGTTTTTATAATTTTATTTAGAATAAATTAGTCGATAATATGCTCCAATCATTCGTTACATTCGTTGAGTCCATGGAAAGCGTCAGGATCTGGAAGCTGCTCATAACTGGCGTCTTCAAGACCCTTAAAATTTCTCCACACACTGACAGTAGTTCAAGGTACTCAGTTGTCAATCTTCTTATGAAAATTCCCATAAAATTGTTTTTCTGTTATTTTTATTGCAGCTGTTATACATCCAGTGTATGACAGCCCTCAACTTCAATTCAAGCTTTCATGAAAAAATTTCCATCAGATCAAGCTGTCACTCAAGAATCATTGATGCTATTACCTCCAGCCTTGAACTACGCCAATTTTTTACCATTGATATAAATTTTTGACCTCTCATTTCATCGTTTTAGATAATTATTTTAATACTACTTCTCGAAAAATCATCGAAAAAACATCGAAAAATGGAAATCGACCTTGGAAACTATACGATGGATTCAATTCTAAAAGGGGTCTATCGATAATCTTTATAGAATCCTATATTCCAAGGAAAAATCATAGAATTTCATAGAGTGGTTATTGAGAAAATCGAAAAAGAAAACAATTTCTAACGGACATATATGAATATATATGTACATACAGACATGTTCTAAGCCCCGATTAAACTCCGACTGGACACCTCTTTAGCCCTCATTAAGCCCCATCTAAATCCCGGTTAAACCCCGACTAAGCCCCAACTAAGTCCCGACTAAACCCCGATTAATAGCTTTCAGAAGAAAAATCTATCAAATCAGGCTGTCACCCGCGAACAAATAATGCTATTTCCCCCATCTTCGAAATCGGTTAATATACCATCGATACAAATTTTTTAAGCCGTCATTTAATCAATTTGAATAATTATTTTTTGACTTATCGTCAAAATAACAAAAAACTAAAAATGTTAATATCTCAAAAACTATATGGTCGATTGAGTTCTGGGTGGGGTCAATGGAAAGCTCTTATTAAGACCGATATTTCAAAAAAAAATCATGAAATTCCATCGAGTAGTTATCCAGAAAATCGAAAAAGAAAATTATTTACATACATACATACATACGGACATGCTCTAAAAATAGCATATTCGGAATTTTCCATGCATCATAAGTTATTGAATCTTGGTAATATTGAGCTCACGTTAGACTTAGTAACAGAAGGGGCCCGTACGTGAGGGATTAAGTGCGATTTTCACTGTCAATCAGTTTAGGGTACTCATTAGGATATTATGGAAAATTGAGAAAATTCGGTTTTCCAGAAAATTTTAGGGAATTCACGGGTGTTCTAGCGAAATTGCGAAAAAAATCCCCGTACAACGCCCGGGATCAAAAGCCAGTCCATGAATATTATGTGAAGCCGAGAAGATGAGGATTTTGGTAATCCATATCGGCCAAAAGTTAATTACTTGGTGCATTTTTTTTCAACTGCCA